TAGGCTCTTATATATCTAATCTGAAGCATTAATAAAATTCCACTTCTTCTGCTTCCTTTCTTTTTTTTCTCTCTCAGTCTTTGATTTCCCTTTGTGTTATTTAGCTTAAACAGGTTTTTAAAACCTTCAGTTTTGAAATGCATTTGTGAATTACATTACAACATTCAATTGGTCTAAACTGACTTGCATGTTCTGGAACTTCCATCTTTTGAATTAGTGCAATGTTGGTGGTATTCACTTGCCAATTCTGAAAGAACTCCAAGACTATTTCTGTCATATCTCTATCCACTATCCCCATGTCACTTTCGAAAAGGCACTTCCATAACCATCAAGCACTGGGCTTTTTGTTTTGTCAATCTTAGACATGGCCCATGATACTGACTATGGCTATATTTGTATGTTGTCTTGTTTTACTTACCTGTTCATATTTCGTATAATTGGAGATGACCGATAATCCTACCAGTACACTGTGGATTTTAATAAATGTTATCAAAGTTTGTGTACTCAATGATAAATAATACAAAGCCGAATGAATTAGTAAAATATTAGTATAAGATATGTGTACGCCATGATAAATAATTTAAGAATTTGAAAAACTCACATAACAGAAATTGTTACAGTTGTAGGTGAAGGATGGATGCAAATTTTCAGGGAACAAATCTTTTGCTTTGTAGGGAGCAAATTTTCAGGGAACAAATGTAAGAATTTGAAAAACTCATATCTGTTGAATTATTTGTTTCGTATTCTTCTAAACGCTTACAATATAGTAACATTATAAATGAATTGGAGAGAGAGTATCATTCCATATGAAGTTGCATTAAATAAATATGAACACACCCTGAATGTCGACGATAAGCTGAAAAGGATAGTAGCCCCAACAAAAAATGTGAACTGGTGAATCAAGAAGCATGATATAATAATCCTTCCATTCAAGGAGCAGAGAAGAACAGAGAGAACTAAAAAGATAACATTATTAGTTCCCTTGAACAGAGACATTAAATCATAAAAAGACAGTTGTGCAAGTAAATAAAATTGTCTACTCTTCCGCTTTCTCCTTTACGTAATTAACTTTTTCCTTTCCTTTTGTGCTTGCCTATTCCAAGTCCAAGTCCATCCATGTAAGTTGAGTGTTTTCAGACACCAAATTTTCGCCTTTTCCGACTATCCACTCATCCATGGAGTCAACAACATCCTCTGCAATATCATTTTCTCCTTCGGGATCAAATGCCTGCAATTGCAAATTACAATAGACAAATACCAAGTCACTCAGCCTCTGCTGCTCTATCTGATTCCTCCCTTTTCAATGCAATGTCTCAACCAAGCTCCTTTTCAGCCTATAATGTGAAGCACCATTGCACGTCTGACTAAGGATCCGAACAGCAAGCCTTTCAAGTTCGGGAAACTCAACTTCATATTTTGACCACCAATGTCCTGCAAACATAACACATATATATATTAAAACACACATTAAATAAAAAAATTAAAGTATAAAATATTGTACCAACCTGGGGAAATATCTGATAGAATCTCTTTGGAACTTAAAAAATCAAATGTGCCAATTTGCTGTGTGATCAAATCCTTTATACGACGATCTTCTGCCATGCCAGTAATACAAGAGCAAAGACCATCGGAAATCTTCACATTAAGGCACCAATTACTTGAATGAAAAAAGGTTGGGTTCAAATAGTAACCCGCGTCATGGAGAGGACTGTGCAGATATTTGTTCCATGTGTCATCTATCGCATTCCAGATTTTTGCATGACAGAATCTCGTGCGTTCGAACTCCTTTCTGACGGTTTCTTTAGCTTGATCAAGTGTATCATGTATAAAACCAACTTGTGCCTTATTAGTACCATTCAGAAACTTTATAACTTCCACAAGCGGAATGGTTGCTTTTACAGCCATCAAAGCCTCAGTCCAAAATGATTCATCTTTAATCATTTCGGACATTCCTTTCCCCTCACTCGTAGAAGCCAAGAGTGAGGTTTGCCAAGTAGACGACTGAAACATCCTAATTAACCCGTTTTTCTGTGAGATGATGTTTCCCAGAGTCAAAAAAGGCACAATTGCCTTTATTTTGGAAGACTTTACAAGCTCGACCTCAGGGAAAGCATCTCTTAGAAGCTTCAGGACCGTAGCATGGCTGTAGATAAATTGGACCAACATTTTTGTCTTCTTCAACGCTTCTTCTATCCAGCCTATCTTTGTTACTTCCTGTAACATCAGTTCCATACAATACGAAGCATCTATGCTCCAAAACACTGTCTTGCATTTGTCCATCAATTTCTTGCCTGCTTCCATCATCCAATCAGATGTCGTGTATGCAACAATTTGGACGACATTTTCAACTCCAACTTCCTCCAGAATCTCCTCGAGAAATAATAGCATGGCATCGAAATTCCTACTGAAAGATGATATATCTGAAGATCGAAGATTCCCCTCGGGAAGTACACTAGGATATTAATCAGATTTCTACCGTCTGA